GCTGATACATAATTCACATATAAACAATTCACCCACTTAAAATGTACAACTTAATGCTTTTTAAGAATATTTATAAAGTTTTGCAATCATCCTTACATCAAATTTTGGAACATTTCTGATTCCCTTAAAAGGAAGCTGAACACAATTAGCAGTCACTCCTCATTCCCGCCTCTCCCCAGCTCCTGAAAACCATTAATCTGGGCGGGCATGGTGGGTCACGCCTGTAATCCTAGTACTTTGGGAGGCCGAGGTGGGTGGATCACCTGAGGTCAGGAGTTCGAGACCAGCCTGGCCAAACATGGTGAAACTGCATCTCTACTAATAATACAAAAATTAGCCGAGTGTGGTGGCATACGCCTGTAATTCCAGCTACTGGGGAGGCTGAGGCAGGAAAATCACTTGAATCTGGGAGGCAGAGGTTGTAGTGAGCTGAGATCATGCCATTGCACTCGAGCCTGGGTGATAGGAGTGAAACTCCGTCTCCAAAAACAAAGACAAAACAAAAACGAAAAACATGAATCTACTTGTATGGATTTTCTTACTTTGGACATTTAATATAAAAAAAAAAATCCTATGATATCTGGTTGGTTGTGACTCAGTGTAATGTTTTCATGAGTCATCCACACCAGAGTATGTTTTGAGGTATGTTAAGTCTTTCTTTTGTTTACTATTCTGGCTTTCTTCAATGCTCTAATCTCAGTGATGTCTGTCTCTGTTAAGCATCTATACAGTCTAAGGTATCTATGTTTCATTTGCTGGGTTATTTAATTAACTTTGTCAATCTCTCCCTACCACATCATCCTGCCATTTGTATGTATCCCCACTATAACACAAGGTTTGCCCTGTGTAGCCCCTGTTGACAGCGTGCATGCTCAGTCATCTTCGTGACCATTTCCCTGCAGTGCTGTAAGATTCAGAAGCCTCCAAAGAGAGTTGCGGCTCTCAGAAGCCAGATGTGGATTGCACTCCGAGTTCGAAACTTTTCAAGTGCTGAAATGCCAGAGGGAGGAAGCCAAGTGGAACATTGTGAAAAAGAAATAATAAGCACTCTCAGGATGACACTTGGGTTTGTCTCTGTGGCAGCACGCTTATCTGTTTGCAGTGGCCATAATTGACAGTTGGAACAATTGCGGGTAGGAGAGATAGGCCCACCACCCAGCTAGAGACTAAGCAGCTGGGTTTTGATTATTTTCAGGGTAATGTGTGAGCAAAGCTTATGGTTTGGTGAGTTTTTATCATCAGTGTCTGTCAACCTTTCCCTCTCTGCTGGGACAGTGAAGCCAGCAGCTACCTTGGTTGTAAACTGTCAGCCATCACTTTGGTCACAGTGTAGAGAACCATTTTCTTTTTCTTTTCTTCTTCTTCTTCTTTTTTTTTTTTGAGACGGAGTTTCACTCTTGCTGCCTAGGCTGGAGTGCAATGGCACAATCTCGGTTGGCTGCAACCTCTGCCCCCTGGGTTCAAGTGATGCTCCTGCCTCGGCTGCCCAAATAGCTGGGATTATAAGTGCCTGCCACCATGGCTGGCTGATTTTTAAATTTTTTTTTAGTAGAGACAGGGTTGCATCATGTTGGCCAGGCTGTTCTTGAACTCCTGACCTCAGGTGATCCACCCACCTCGGCCTCCAAAAGTGCTGGGATTACAGGCGTGAGCCACGGCACTTGGCCTGGAGAACCATTTTATATTGGGAATGACCATTGTAATTTCAGCAGAGTCCTGAGTGAGCACTTCTACAAGAATTGTTGTGTGGCTTAAGACACTGTTTATTTGGGCCATTGTTTCTCCATTTTGAGGGCTTCAGATCTCAAGGATTTAGTCCTTTCTGGCAGATAAAGCTGAAACCAGTGACTTGGTAGAGTTGTTCTGGTCTCTCATGTGTCACCTTTTTGAATTTTCCCTTTAATCTTTTCAGTCCCCTTTCCTGGCAATGGATACCTAAAGCTGACCAACCATTCCCAGCCCTGGGTTACACATGTTTGTGTGTGTGTGCGTATATATATGTATGTGTGTATGTATATATTTGTAGCTATTATCCTTGCAGATGTAGCTGCATATAATTGTTTTCTCTTAGAGTAAGGAGATGAAGAAGCTGAGATCTAGGATATAGCCTATTTATAGACCAAATACAGGCAAAATTTTTAATACCATGAACTATGAGGAGTGCGATACTGGGTGTTTGCTTTTTTTTCTTGAGTGGACCAGGCTGAGGGTAAGATAAAGATGGAGACAGAAAGGAAAGATCCAGAAGGACATTGCTGTGGAGCTCTAGTCAGTGGTGCCATCATGGATATCGATCATTTTTGCCTGTATCTGTTCTGGTTAGAGCACTCTGATTTTACTTTGGGAGAAACCACTGCCTCTTATTGGATTTATGTCTGGCAAGAGTCAATCGTGGTACATGTCCTTCCCTATCCAAAGCTGGAGCAATTGAAAATACCCTCCCTAGATTTGAATCCTGGAAGAGATTCAAAGAAACAGCTAGATCCCATCTTCCCAAAAGCAGCTCCTCCAGGGCCTCTTCGTTAGGTCCTGACACCACGATTCCCAGAGCTGCTCTGGTTCCTGTCCATTCTGAAGTCCAAGTGTCCAACTTTTTTTAAACTATGTGAATTACTCCATATCCGTCTAGTTGTTTTTTTTGTTTTAGTGAGGCTGAATTGGTTTATGCCAGTTGCAACCAAAGAATCTCACTGACACTGGGGTGTATCCGTATGAGGGCTTGGGTAGGCAGGAGGTAGCAGACTAGCCCTGAAAGATTAAGGACTTGAGGTGAGACAACCTGGGAGAAGGGAAAGGGCACTAAGAGAAGCAGAGGGAGGCACCAGCGGCCCCCTTGCACACCGAGAATCGGTTCCAGGTGACAATCTCATTGGCTTTTTAAAGCTTCCTCCTTGTCAATCAAGGAGTCACTTTCATTTCTGCCTAACCTGGAGGTTCCACTGTAAAATTTCAGCCTTTGAGACAACAAAACAGGGATTTCTACTAAAATCACTCATTCCAAAAATATGTATCCAGCACCTACTGAATGTCAACCCTTGGCTAAGTACCAATGGTTCAAAGGTGAACCAAACATGGCCCTTGTGCTCAAGAGCTTATAATGTCTAAACCTGCGTGGTCCAGTATAATAGCCATTGGCCACATGTGGCTTTCATATTTAATTAAGTTTAAATATTACAGGTTAAAATTTACTTCCTCAGCTATACTATCCATATTTTACATATTCCAGTAGCTCACGTGGCTGGTGACTACCATTTAGGACAGTGCAGACATCGAACATTTCTATCATTACAGTATTTTCCAGTGGACACTGCTGGTCTAGACAGGTGCAATAGAAAGAATGATATAAATGATATAAGCCAGGGCATTAGGAATCACACAGGATCTGACTCATGGAGTCGGGGCAGACTTCCTGAAGATAATGACATCAAAACAGACCTGGAGGATAAGTTGGCACTTGGGCAAGAGGAGAAGAGGAAGAATGCCAGGCAGAGGAAACAGCATGTACAGAGGCCCTGAGTTGACTGAGGACAAGCTGAAGTGCCCTCAAGTAACCAGATAAGAAGAGAACGCCTTTTCACCATCAACCTTCTCATGCTTTGTTAGTCAGACTACATTCTCTGATTTCAGATGTTGAGGGGCAGGGTCCTGAGGGTATTGGCCATAGGATACATTTATTCTGGCCTGCTAAAGTAAGGGAGCTGTATGCCTCAATTTTGGAGCACCAAAGTTATATGAAAGGTGTTTACTAGATGAGAGAAGCCAATGGATTTGGAGAGAGGCAACACACATATGAATAAAGAGGTCTGATTCAGAGCTCTTAAGACCGATGACTGTGACCCCAGGTAAACCATCTCTCATATCTCAGTTCTTTTTATACCTAAAATCAAATTATCTTTCTGATCAGAACCCAAGTTAAGGAAGCCAAGAAATGTGTTTGACACATGGTGGTTTTCCTATTCCAGTTGAAAGTACATATGTTGAACATAAGTGCAATCGTATTCAGAGACAATTAGTCAAGTCTGGGCTAATTTGACTGCTCCATGCTATGTTTAAAGTGGGATACTGTGTACATGGAAATATTAGATTAAAATTTGTGGCTCAAAAACTAGCTTCTGATTAAATAATTCTTTAGAAAAGACAACTAAGAGGAAGACCCTCTGAACCTGAACCTGAGGGTTGGGGCCTCTTTGTCAGCAAAGGATAAACTGACATTGGTTGTGCACCTCCTTTGTCCCCAATATCTTCATCAATTTTCCCTCTAATCTTCCCAAATTACCCAGGGAGAGGAAGATACAGAGGGACTGAATGTAGAGCTCACTTCTTCCTGCTATGTGTTAATCTTATAACTATGAGAGGATCAGAGAAAACCTGGTTTCAGAGCCCTGCTTTGCTTGGGAGGACAAGAAGGCTGCCAGAGCAGTGGTGGATGATGGGAGTACCTCTGTAAGTGACGACAGAAGGAAGGTATGACGGTCAAGCTAATGTGTCGACTTTACCAGGCTAAGGAATACCCAGGTAGCTGGTATAACGTGATTTCTGGGCGTGTCTGTGAGGGTGTGTTTAAGGAAGAGATTAGCATTCAAATCAACAGACTGAGAAAAGAAGATCTGTCCTCACCATTGTGGGCAGTCATCATCCAATCCTTTTAGGACCCAAATGGAACAAAAGGTGGAGGAAAGTCCTCTCCATCTTTTTGAGCTGAGACATGCATCTTCTGTCCTCGGATGGGAGCTCCTAGTCCTTGGGCCTTCAGACTCCAGGACTTACACTAGCAGCCTGCCTGATATTTGGGATGTCAGCCTTGGACTGCGAGTTATACCATTGGTTCCCCTGGTTCTCAGGCCACTGGACTTGGACTGAGTCACACAAGCGGCTCTGCTGTTCTCCAGCTTGCAGACCACATAGCATGGGACTTCTCAGCCTCCACATCACATGAGTCAATTCCCACAATAAATCCTCACTTCTATGTCTATATATTCCTGTTATTTCCATTTCTCTAGAGATCCTACTAATACAAAGGGATGGAGGCCAACCTGGATTTACAGATGAGGCTCTTTCAAAGAGCCAATGCCTGACAGAGCTCCAGCTGAAGAAAATGGTTCCTGAAGCCCTGGGGCTTTCAACATCCCAGAGGCCTTAAGGTAAGGCCTTAGTCTTTTCTTAGGGGAGAAAAATGGAAAGGAAAGATATATTATGTTATATAATGTATATATCTGGATCATAGAATTTTAGAACTGGACAGAGTATTCGAGAGAATCTAATTTAAGTGTCTCATTTTGCAATAGAGGCCTTGAGAGGTGGACATAAATTGCCCAACATAGATTGTCAATGGTAGAATAAGATCTAGATTTATTAAATCCTAATGAAATGCTCTTTTTATTGACCTTAACCTAAGTTTTTTTCTTGTTTTAATTTCAATAGGTTTTTAGGGAGCACGTAGTGTTTGGTTACATGAAGAAGTTCTTTAGTGGTGATTTCTGAGATTTTGGTTCACCCATCACCCGAACAGTGTACACTGTACCCAGTGTGTAGCCTTTTATCCCTCATCCCCCTCCCACCCTTTCTCCAAGTTGCCAAAGTCCGTTGTATAGTTCTTATGCCTTTGCGTCCTCATAGCTTAGCTCCCAAATCTAAGTTTTTTAAATATTATATTTTAAATTGTTCTTTTACTTAAATGGTAATATTAGGAAATCACTATATTTAAAATATCTAGATTAAACCCAGGGAGACCTAAGAGCTGCTCTCAGTTCTCTACCCTCAGCAGGTGGACTGGCTCCTCTGATGCTAAAATAGTAGGTAAAACACCTGAAAAGAAACAATCATGGATTGAAAATCTTGGCCTCTCTCAAATGCAACCCACCTCAGTATATTTGCATGCTTAAACAGGCCACAGTGTTCAGTGGAAACAACAGGGGATTTAAATAAATCCCTGGTGTAAATACTTTCTGCTAGCTTTGTAATTTTAGACAAGCTGTTTAACTTCTCTGTATCTCAGTTTCCACATTTGTAAGAGATAAAAAATGTGCTCAACAGTCTTCTCTGGAGGTGGATATTTAAGGTCAGAAGGTTACTCTCTGGCTGGAAGGGGAATCCTCTCCAAGTGTAAGCTAAAGGCACATCTGAACCCCCAGCCCTGACATCTGGTAGATACACTGTTAGCATTTGTTGAGTGACTGACCGACTGACTGATAGGTGCCAAAACGGCCACTGCAGAACCTAGCTGGGTGGGGGAGGTGTGGCTGTTGAGAAAAGAGGAAGCCAGAGAAGGGGCATCTGGCTCCCTTTCTTTGGGGTGTGACCTTACACGAGACTAAGCCTCTTTCTTGTTCCCCATTTAAAAGAGTAAAAATTACTGAGGAAACAACAGACAAGTTAGTAATGAAATGAAGTCAAGCAAATACAGCAAAAAACGAAAATGGTAATAAATGCTCTGTTAAATGATAAAAAGATCAGATCTGTTTATGATAATGAAGATGGATTAAGCGTACCTACCATGACCTGCTCAACCATGTGACTGTGATGGAGTTCTGGAGCAGGGTTACTTCTGACGGCAACACTGAAAGCCCAGAATCAGCTCTGAGGCACAGCTCAGTTTGGAGAGCAGAGGGAAGGGGTCCTGGGCTCCTGCTGGGGCTGGTCTGTTGGAGAAAAACCAGCAAGCTGCAATGAAGGAGCACATACTTCACTGATTTCTCTCCATCCTTCTTCCAGTCTACTCTTTTTCCCTCCTACTTCCCTGCCAGCCAGCTCCCACAGCTAAATTAGCCACCTTACAGCCCTGAACAAACTACCTGCCCCACCGGACATTCTCCCATGTCGCTGCCTCAAAATTCCTGCAGATTTGTATGAGGGGTGGACATTTAGAAGCCTGAGAAACCGCTCCTTCGTCAAAGTTTCATCTCTTACTTTAGTTTGCTATTGTGGACTAGAGTGAGAAGGACAGAATTTATACACCTCAATCATCAAGCTGGGATAGTTGGTCTGGAAGGACTGTTATCCCATTGGTTGGCCTCTAGAGACAGCCAAAGCTGAGTGGGACATACAAACCTGTGCTCAGCCAGAAAGTGAAGGCTAAAGGCCAGGGGAAACATGGGGTCATGGTCTGTGGTTTGCATAGTTAACAGGGCTTAAAAAGAAGACAAGGTTGGCAACTAGAGTAAACAGTGGCAACTTACATTTTCACCTGCTCAACAAGCTTTCCTATCCTCTTCTCTTGCTTTCTTTGGTGAATTCTTCCTCTACTCCACAGAGTCTGAGTGAGGCTGTTAATCAGAGTATATCTCTTCCATACCCCATCCCCACTCCCCAGAGCTACAAAACTCACAGGGGTGGGCAGATGGCCGTGCACCTAGATCAGGCCAGTGTTCTCCTTGGAATATCTCTGTGGGAGCCAGCACAGAAGGCTGCAAGGAAAACATCACCAACAGCAGAGACAAGGGGAAGAAAGAGAAAGGTGGGCGGGAAGAGAGAGGAGGCAAAGAATGAACTGATGACATTGTTAGCGCTTCTGGATCCAGCCGGGCTGGATCTACCTCTTGACTTCCCAGTTGTTGGAATCAATAAACTTCTTTCCCCTTGAACAAGATAGACTGAGGAAACAACAGACAAATTAGTAATGAAATGAAGTCAAGCAAATACAGCGAAAAACAAAAATGGTAATAAATATTCTGTTAAATGATAAAAAGATCATTCAGACCAAATGTGTCCTGATGAATTTACCAAGGTGGGCCGGAGGACAAATGGAGCAAGATTATGATTTAGGAACTGATGAATCAAATGCTGGACATGTTTAGGAATCTCTCTACTATGAGTCAGAGATAACTCACCAAAGGAGCTCTACTTTCTCAGACAGACACAAAGCTTGTAAAATCCAAGACTGAATAGGGAAAAAAGAGAGGTCTTCAGAACTCATTCAACTTTTGTTTAATTCCTCCAACAGTGAAACCTGTCAATAACAACTGTCTATGTTGTATGCAAATGATGATCGCCAGAGGATACTGTTTTGACCTGTCATACTGAAAAAGACCCAGCAAAAAAGGTAGGGCTAGTGTGGGGTCATCTCTGGGTGAAATGGATATCATGTACTGCTGCTAGAAGAATCAGTTGGCTCACTTTCTAAAAGAGCATTTTGTGCTAGGTACTAAAATCCTAGAAATGTACCTATTTTTGACCTAAGAATTCTGATGTTCAGGTCTAGTATAGGCTGCCCAAGAGGGACCTGTAGAATAAATTACCAAGTTAAAAGAACCCATTTACATAACGTTAAGAAGAATACCTAAGTTGAGAGTATTTGTGCCATTTTCACCACAATTCTAGTTCTATGTTGGAGGGATCTGGCAAGCACTACCCCTTATTATTATAGCAAAAATAATTGCTTTTGTATTTTTGGCTTGCACTTTGTGTAGTAAATGTACCCTGGAAAAGATATACATTGCAATCAAATGAATAAACCGCACCCACCTCACCTCCACTGACTATATGCTCCTCAAGGGCCAGGATTTATATTTGTTTTGTTTACTATTTTGTCCCTATTACCTGGATCAGTGACTGCAATAAATACTTGTTGAATGAACTAATGAATAAGCATCTAATGACGGGAAAGAAAAGAAAATCACTCCTGCACTTCCTTTTTCCTGTGAGTGTTATGGCTATAAAATACTATAAAGATGAGTGCTTTATACATTTTAACTCATAATACGTTTTAACTCATACGTAAGTGTATGGCTTAATAAAGTAACAGGTAGAAGTTAAAATTTTTGAACTTGAACACAATGTTTCTGGGATGTTTACAGTTACTTATATGTTCACAATTTTCAGGTGGAAAATAAAACCCTTCATCCTCTGTAAACATTTCTAGGAGTATTACATTGGGTTAATAAATATGACAGGGTTATTGTCCTTCATTGTAATTGCGTGTATGATTCAGGCTTTTGTGCAGGTTCCTATCAGTCAACAGAAGGTAGACAGTTGGCTCATTATGTTTGCTCATTTCAGGGGAGCTCTTGCTGTTTCATTGGAGACTAAGCATACAGTTCTAGGTGTCATGGATACCTAAGCCTTTTAGTTAAAGAAATATACCCTTAATGGCAACTTTTAGGTAGTCTAACTCCAATTCCTGGCAGAACTCTCTATTAAATGTTGAATGCCTACATTTATTTAATTTCAGTTTCAAAATCTGCTTGGGCCTAGAAAGTGAGATTATACTTCTATTTAAGGCCTCTTCTGCTCTGGTTCTACAGATACAATGAGCTCTTAGTAAGTTGTAGTGGGTAATTTTACTTTGAAGCTCTATGGTATTACAGTTTTCTCCACTTCCCAGACAGCTCTTAATATTAGGTGTAAGTATATAGTCTATATATTGGGGACAATCATCAATAAGGTTAAAGTCATTCTTTTCCAAAAACAAGTTTCTGGATGCTGGAGAAAAAAAGTCAGTGTGGCCGACTTTACCCTCCAATGGGGCAATTCAACACAAGGAACCTGTTGCCTTGGCCTGGCTCTATCTGTGTAGCTGAAAATCCAAGACAAGGCATTTCCTGGCACTTTACCAAGGATGCCTGTTACTTTTTGGGCAGATGAAATTTGAAACACCATCCCATAAAGGGGAGGAAGGAATGACATAAATAGTCCTATTAAAGGGAAGTCACTATCTGAGATGATTGTGGAAGAGCAACTACGTACAGTCACCGCAGAGATTAAACTCCTGAAGGCATCATACCACCAGCCTCTTTACGAGCTCCTCAGAGTAAATCACCTGCCCACCTCTTCGTCCTCCTCTGAATGTGTAGTGTGTACAAGACACATTTTAAGGGACTGCAGTATCGAAAGAACTTCCATGTGGTGAGGAAAAATCAATTCTGCAGATGAAGAAAGCATTAGGCAGCAATTCTTCACTTACAGAAATAGTTGTTTCAATCTTTCTTTCAAAAGGTTGAGCAAAACATAGGTAAACTCATTCCTTTCTGGTTGACTCTAAAGTAAACTGTTGGAATCTTGTTTGAGGTAGTGCAGCAAGAAAAGCAAGTTGATCATCCCCATCTGTTAGGCAATCAGACCTGGGGTATCTGTACCTGTCATGTTCACTAGGCATTAAAAGATAGCCCTAAAATAGCACTAAGAGATTTATTCTATTTTTTTTTTTGAGACGGAGTTTCGCTCTTGTTACCCAGGCTGGAGTGCAATGGCGCAATCTCGGCTCACCGCAACCTCCGCCCCCTGGGTTCAGGCAATTCTCCTGCCTCAGCCTCCTGAGTAGCTGGGATTACAGGCACGTGCCACCACGCCCAGCTAATTTTTTGTAATTTTTAGTAGAGACGGGGTTTCACCATGTTGACCAGGATGGTCTCGATCTGTTGACCTCGTGATCCACCCGCCTCGGCCTCCCAAAGTGCTGGGATTACAGGCTTGAGCCACCACGCCCGGCCTATTCTATTTTTTAAAAAAGAAGCTACTTTTTAACCCCTCCATTCAGCACACTTCACACTCACCAGGGCCTGAGACTGGAGCCTCAGAGAGCCAGTTTCGTGAGTCTAGTTCAGACTATTTGTTTATTTTATGGGGCACCCAGACTGATTCAATCTTATTTTCAGCTGCACTGATTTACTTGACTGCACTAAAAGGCTTATTGACACTGTTTTGGTATCAACAGTTCTCTCTTTTCTTAGTAGAAAGTCGAAGGCTTTTATGTAAAGTTTACTTTCTGTATCTGTCAGAGACCACCTGCAATATTAGGCTTCTTTTTTCCTTTTTTTGGTCTTATCTATTATCAGTTCCCTCATTCTTCAAACAGCTGTAGAATCAGACTTAGCCTCACACAGACCCAAATTCTTGCCCTTATGATAAACAGCATATTAGGAGCAGCTAGTCAGATGCTCTTCACTCTGGCATCAGACGGTTCTTGAGCAGTGGCCCTATTTCTATCTGTAATTCACTTCCTGGATTCCGGACTCCTCACCGTTTTCTAACATGGATAACTGCTTCCTGTTGCTTTTGCTCTTGGCCACCTGAGTTCCCAGGTTGCTGGGATCAATGCTTCATTGCTGCGTAGCTAGAGACTGTGAATTTGTTTACCATCATTCTTTGCATTTATTTGTATATAGTTTATATTCCATTGTAATGGCTTAACATAAGCATTTTTAATTTTATTAAAACATCCATAATGTTTAAATTGGCTTAATTGATTTTTATCTTATGAACATTCAGATGATAGCTTTCTAGAATATTCTATGATGTGAACATGTAGAAAATGTTCACATTGTGTGAACATTTATAAATGATCACATTGTGTGAACATTTTTGGTGTCAGTAATGTTAGTAAATGTTAGCTGGATCACAATTTTTAATGACTGCATCATATGGATGTGACTTACCAGTCTCCAGATGTCAATGTTTAGGTTATTTCCAATGTTTCACTGTCATGTGTAATGCTATGTGTATTTTACTTACATAAAGCTTGCATTTCATATTATTTGCTTATGATAAACTATGTTTTGGAATTATTAGGTCAAAGGTCCTAAACATTTTAAAGACTTTTCATTCTATATTGCCAAGTGGCTTTTGGATAAATTATACATTAGCACTGAATGGGATTTCCTGTTTCATTATAATCTTATCAGGTTATCAGGATTTATATTATTTTGCTAATTTAATAAATTAAGATAATATCTAATTAATGTTTTATTTTTTCTTATTTGATTACATTGTGAGATTGATTTTTCATTTATTTAGTGGATATTAACATTTTCTCTTCTGTGAGTTGCCTATTTAGATTCTTTGTCAATTTTCTGTAATGGCTTTATGTTTTTCTTTTCAATCTGGATGAAGTGTTTAATATTGTAAGAATACTTTCCTCTCAGCAGCCATTTTGCTGTATATTTATTTCAGTTTGAGGTATAGATCATCACAGTTTGCAATAATCTTTGAGTTTTTGTGTGTTCATTTGTCACTCTTAAGCTTTCTTTTATTGCTTTTGCACTTGGTCAGTTATTCCTTTTTCAAATATAAGGTAAACATTTATTTACATTTTCTTATTATTTGATCCCCTTTTACCTAATTTTTGGTAAATGGTAAATCTAAGTTGGTATTTATTTCTGGGGGAATAAAAGCCAGTTTTCCCAGTAATTTACATGACATAACCTAGTTTTCTGATATTGATCATTAATTTTTTTTTTTTACACAGTGCATATGGTTAGATCTCTTTCCAAGCTACTTTTTCTATTCCATCAATTATTCTATTTCTACTTATGCCAGGAGTGTAGCATTTTGATTATTATACTTTATAGTAGTTTTTAAGAAAATGTTTCATTATGGAAAATGTGAAGCATAACATGGTTATACAAATTCACATGTACCCATTACCCAGCATCAATCATTGTCAACTCATGGGAAATCTGTGTCATATCTGTCCCTCTATCTACTTTCCCCTCCCATACATTTTTAAACAAACCTCAGACATCATATTTCATCTTTTTATCACATCCACATATAATGATTTTTAAATATCAGTATCTAATGTGTCCAAAATTCCAGTTGTCTCATAAATATCATAAATGTTCTACTTATTTATTTTATACTTTACCATTTGAATCAGAACACAAACAAAGTCTATATTTTGAAATTAATTAACATCTTAGGCCGGCTCAGTGGCTCATGCCTGTAATCCCAACCCTTTGGGATGCAAAGGCGGGTAGATCACCTGAGGTCAGGAGTTCGAGACCAGTCTGGGCAACATGGAGAAACCGATGTCTACTAAAAATACAAAAAGTAGCTGGGAGTGGTGGTGTGTGCCTGTGGTCCCAGCTACTCAGGAGCCTGAGGCAGAAGAATCACTTGAACCCAGGAGGTGGAGGTTGTAGTGAGCCAAGATTACACCACTGCACTCTAGCCTGGGTTACAAAGTAAGACACTGTCTCAAAAAAAAAAAATTAATAACATATTTTAAATCTCTTAATCACTACCCATCTTTCTCTTTTTTCTTCGAAGTTAATTTAACTGAAATTTGTTTGTCCTGTAAAATTTTCTTAACATATTCTAGTATTATACTTTCTAAGTTTCAAGTTCTTCTTTTTCATAAACCTTTGAAAATAATAATTCATATCATAAGGTTGTTATGAGGATTAAAGAGATGAAACATGTATGTCACTTGGTGAAATCTCAGGCAGTAATAAATGTGACTTGTAAGTATAATTATTAACTCATTGATATGACCCTGAGACTGAAATATAAAACTTGGAAATTTTCTCTTTATTTCTTGAATATTTACTAAGAAATAAGAGTTTTCTCTTGGGTCTATTCTTCGGATTCATATTTCTTCATTTCATGTTGATTTTAATTTTTCAGGAAACCATGAATTTCATTACAATTTTCAAAAGTTTTAACAAATAGTTTAGCTATTTTGCATTATACTAACGATTTCTTTTAAAATGTCTTTGAATCTGTCATAAATCCATATAGTTTTATTTTTCTATTTTGGATTAAATTATCCAGAGATATTTTGTTCCCTTTCTTCCCCAAAAGTACTGTCTCCTTAAATTGATAAGTTCTACCATCAGGTGCATTTAAGTGTCTGTAGCAGGCAGTATCTGCTACTTAGCAAAGTAAGCAGACAGAACATGCCTGCTATTAGAGTCATAGATGCATCAGCTAAATTCCCTTTACTTCTTCTGCCCCTCCTTTATCTAGTTCTCTATTTACCTCTTTAAATGGAATATCTAAGGAATAACCAAATAGC